TTTTTTTTTTTCTTGCGATGAATTGTCGTGGATTCTGTTGCTGGCATATTCGCCCGGAGTCCCCTCCCCACCTGACACGTGTGACATGCCTCGTCTACTCGACCTACATTCTCCCGTCCACTCATACTGGTGCTGATCGCGTGTTCTATAGCCAATCTCTCATCATCTTCTTGGTCGCCGCCTTCCCGTCGCCCTTCAACTGTTGGTGCTCAAGACCAGTTGGAAAGCTTAATTGCCAGACACGGTCACCCCACTCGAGTATCGCTGTCGTCCTTGGAAGAATTAACGGCCACCTCGTCCACATATAATCCTCCCTCCTCCCGGTCTCCCTCACCTCTCTCAGAAACCACGGACTCCTTGGGGACTCTCTCCCTCTCGACCTCTACCTCGAGACCCATCCCCATTCCCAAGCCGTCCTTCCACACGCACCAGGACGACCTTCCCGTCACTCCTTTGACAGGTCGATTCGACAAGGGCTATTATTTCGCTCATCGTGACCAGGCTTATAACAAGGCCCGAGAGAAGCCGATCCATCGCCGGAGTCGCCCGCACCCTCATTGCTCCCGCCGTTCACCGACCAGCATGCGTTCAGACAATTCCACATTCTACTCACCGGTGGTGTCTTCGGCCATGTCTCCCTCTGCACGTCCGTCGTCTCCTCAACAACCACCCCGTTCCCGAACACAGAATCCCACCAAATCCGTGCCAGCCTTTCATCTCAGCAACCTGCCACGGTTCCATCCAGCGGTCTACTCGGCGGGTTCTCCGGGACAACCGACATCCCCACGTCAACCGCGGCCATCCGCCTACCGCACCACCTCGGGCTCTCGGGACGCGATGTGGCAGTATCAAGAACTCGTCGAGGGTGTGACCTTGTCGAAGACACCATCCCGACCACTCTCGCCAAGTCCGTCTGCCCCCCGCTTAGACCCTCTTCGCAGCCCTGGGCCAGTCACTCCCCTCGCTCTGGAAGAGACAAGCGGCTACCTGATCTCGGGAACGTCCAACGCGTCAGCTTTTGCTTCACGGGACGCCCAATCCGGTCCAGCACCCGATTTAATCGACAGACTGATCGTCCGTGAGGCCGAGAGAGCGCGTCAAAATAACAAGAAAAGCGCCAAGAATCGCTATTAACCTTCGCCGTCCGAGGGAGACTTTTCTACGATGCAGAGTCGGTCTGTGACCTGTATTTGCCGAGAACTACCAGGACTTCTGTTTCATAGACTCATTTTCATATCCTGTTTGTTGTGTTCGCGTTGACTACCGAGTCTATAGACAATCTCCAGACATCGGAAAGACCGCCTTTGTGTGTACTACGAGCTATTGTATTTTATACCCCACATAGCCTTACATTCTCTTCTTTTCTATGTTGTGTGTTGCTATTATGATTTTTGATATTTTTTCGTTTCTGTTGTTCTTATATTCTCCACACATATCTGTTATCACGTGTTCTGGGACTTTTCAATTGCATTAACTATAAAGACCGAACAGAACCAGACTGTTCTGCATTTGTTTTACAATGAGTTGACGATCTCGAAGCTCCCTATTGTGGAAAGCATGAAGAGATCCAAAAAGAAGAGGAAAACAAAGAAAACAAACCACATCTCACTGGGCATTTCATTGTTCGTTGTGTCATGGCATTCAGAATATATATTTGGGCTTCACAGCCGCTAGACAATAACCAACCAATCGTTACCAACATTACCTTAGTAGCGGCACATAGGCAACTCTTTCACGTCTATAGTAGGTTTCTCTATATCAATTAATAACGTGCACATTAGCACTCTAAGGTTATGTGGCCGTGGATAAACTGGTTCAACTCGGAGTTAAGAGGAGTGCAAGTCCGGGACGATCGGCAAGGTTTCGGAGGTGCACCACTGCTCCCCGACCGTCGAGTTCAAGTTTTGCGGGGCGCCGCAAAGCATGGAATCTTTAAGACTTCCTCGTTTTCTCCTACTTTTCAATGGAGGCTTCTCTATTATTCTCTAAAGGTCTCAATCATATTCTGAGTCTTCCGTCCGCGAACGTCAATCATACCGACTAATGGGGACTACACAACGTTGTTAACATCGCCAACCCTCTCGTCCGATAGCGGACCCCCCCCAAAAACACTACCTTGCGACCTGACTACGTACAGCGGTCGAGTCCCCGCGCAGATACTGAGAATTATCCCACCGGGATATTCAAGCCATAGGCGACAAATATATAACTCGAAATGTCGACATCATCAACAGCATTGGAGACATCTATAACACCGCCAATCCCCGAGCATCAAGCATCAAAGAAAATGGGCGGTTCCGCCGCAGGGGGTGGACATGCACCGGTCACGAGCTCGAAGCGCGACTATAAGGGATTTGTTGCGGGTGTATTCTCTGGTATTGCGAAGCTGAGTGGTATGTATTTTCTCTAAACTGTTGCCGATAGATGTGTGGTCTGTCGGTCATTGTGATGCTCATAGCTAATTTTGTTTTCTATGGATCTTAGTCGGACACCCGTATGTGGTACATCTCTTGTCGTGCGCTACTCTCAGACCAGGAATGTTAACACCGAGTTTCTCATAGATTCGATACCGTGAAGGTCCGTCTACAGACGAGTAAGGATGGGCACTTCAAGGGACCGCTAGATTGCGTGCTACAGACAGTGCGGAAAGAGGGTGTGAGTGGACTATACAAGGGAGCAACGCCACCGCTGGTCGGATGGATGGTGATGGACTCTGTGTGAGTTTCGTCCGGGCCCTACTCCAATTGACGAGGAAGGAGGAGCTGACCCGAAGTATAGCATGCTTGGCTCCTTGACGCTGTATCGCCGATTGCTGCTCGAGAACGTCTTCTCCAGGCCTGAGATTCGCCGCATAACACCCTTTGCCAAATACCAAGACGGGCACACGCTGCCCAGCTTTGGTCATGGAATTGCGGGCATTTTGGCCGGAACAACAGTCAGTTTCATTGCGGCACCTGTAGAACACGTCAAAGCGCGACTGCAGATTCAGTATGCGGCCGATAAATCGCAGCGTATGTACAGTGGGCCGATCGATTGCACGCGTAAAATTGTAAGTGCAGTACCCAAACGAGGGAGGGTAAGGATGAAATGATGCTGACTTTAGTAGCTTCGCACGCATGGACTCTCCGGCTTATATCGTGGCTTGTACGCCACAATCTTCTTCCGCTCCTTCTTTTTCTTCTGGTGGGGATCCTACGATGTGCTGTCCCGGTGGATGAGGGAGCGAACAAATCTATCCACGCCGGCGATTAACTTCTGGGCCGGTGGAATCTCGGCGCAGATCTTCTGGATTACGTCGTATCCGTCTGATGTGGTGAAACAGCGCCTTATGACCGACCCAATGGGCGGCGCTTTGGGTGACGGGCAGCGACAGTTCCGGTGGTGGAAAGACGCTGCGGTGGCGGTTTACCGCGAGCGAGGATGGAGAGGATACTGGAGAGGCTTTGTGCCTTGCTTCCTGAGAGCGTTCCCGGCGAATGCCATGGCTCTGGTTGCATTTGAGGGTGTGATGCGGTGGCTGCCCTGAAAAAATGTGGGTGCCAGTCGCGACGGGGACTCGAAGACCAAGCCAAGAGGCTACAGTGCATTTGTACATACATATGATAGATCTATACCAACGCATGAACGACTTTATTATAATAGACACAATCCATTGATTGCATTCAACATCCCTAAAGAAAATAACGTAAAATAAAATGAATAAAGAAGGATAATTTGTTGAAAGAAGAATCAAGGGCACGAAAGAACCCCGTGTAAAGGGTGAACCCTGCAGGGTTGCCGCATTCGGCGCTGAACGTGTGTTCCCATCGACCAGAAACAGCCATCAGACTCTCTCGTGCAATTTCTCTCCCTCTCTGAATGCAACTGCGGTGCCAGTCGAGACATCGAGGCTCCGAAATGGCGACCCAGCAGCCACAGCAAAAGCAGGAAGGCGGAAGAAAGGGTCCAACCGAGCCAGACAGAAAATTGGGTCCGTGTGTCTTTTTCCGGAGAGCTTCACTGGACTAGAACATCGATCGTCTACTTCGCCATCATTTCTCTCCGTCCGCTCCCCTCCGGAGACTACATGCGGGGAGTTGACCAACTACTACCACTCGTATTCCAATTCGCTATGTCAGGGGTCAGGCACAGCACTGCTCTTATCGCTGGCTAACGGGGATTCACCGGACCACGACTGTCGATCCCATATTGACCACGTTACGCACACCAATCCTGCGACATACATCATCACAATCCCTCCTCGATCACCAACGCCCTTACAACTTCTCCCCCGGTCCTGAACAGGCCATGATGGCCGTCGCACGCCCAATGCGACGCACAAGTCCCATCACCTTCTTCCTGGCAGCCTTCCTCGCCTTCGGATTCCTCTTCTTCCTCCTCTCCCCGTCATCCTCCGCCACCACCACCGCAGGAGACACCTCGCAGCAACGCCGCGAAGACGCCGCAGACCACCCTCTCTCGCCGCCCACCAAACCCTTCTTCAAGTCCCAACCCGTCCGCGATGACGCCTCAAGGCCCCTCCCCCCGTCGTGCACTACGACCTCAACAAACTCACCACCACCAGCGACTCCGCCGACAAAGGCGAACGAGTCCTCATCCTCACCCCCTTAGCCCGCTTCTACCAAGAATTCTGGGACAACCTCGCCCACCTCAACTACCCCCACGAACTCATCTCCCTGGGCTTCATCATCCCCAACACAAAAGAAGGCTCCGCCGCCCTGTCCGCCCTGGAAACCGCCATCAGTAAGACGCAGAACGGCCCCATCCCGTCCCGCTTCGCCAGCATCAGCATCCTGCGCCAGGACTTCGAGCCCCCGCTGCAATCCCAGGACGAAAAGGAGCGCCACAAGCTCGAGAACCAGAAGGCCCGCCGTGAGAGCATGTCCCGCGCCCGCAACAGCCTCCTCTTCACCACCCTCGGCCCGTCAACCTCCTGGGTCCTCTGGCTCGACGCCGATATCATCGAGACGCCGCCGACGCTCATCCAGGACCTGACGGGCCATAACTACCCAGTCATTGTCCCGAACTGCTACCAACGGTACTACAACACCGACCACAAGCAGATGGAGGTCCGGCCGTATGACTTCAACTCGTGGGTCGATAGCTCCAATGCTCAAGCATTGGCCGAGAGTATGGGCCCCGATGAGATTCTCCTCGAGGCTATGCCGAGATGCCCACGTATCGCACGCTCATGGCGTATCTGGCTGACACGGAGAGCCCCAACCCGAGACGCGTGATCGAGCTCGATGGCGTCGGTGGCACGGCGTTGATGGTCAAGGCTGATGTGCATCGTGACGGAGCCATGTTTCCGGCTTTCCCCTTCTATCACCTCGTTGAGACGGAGGGGTTCGCTAAGATGGCTAAGAGATTGGGGTATCAGGTCTTTGGGCTGCCGGATTATTTTGTAAGTTTCCCCTTTCCCCCATTTCTCCCGTTTTTTAAAATTACTTTTTCCTTGTCAAACTGGTTGTTGTTTGGGTGCTAATTGAGCTTGGTTTAGGTATATCACTACAATGAGTGAAAGGCCTGTCATGTTTTTTCCCATTTAGATTGTGTTTTGTTTTATGTATTGATCGATTGCATCCGCGCGCTGTGCGCAGGTTCGGTTTTGCCCTGGTCGTGGGGTCTTGTTTTGCATTTCCTTCTGTCTTACGATGCTTCCTAAACTTGATGGTCGGATGGGCGTTGGTTTGTCTTGTATCATGTGGTTCTACGTAGAGTGGGACGGAGGTCCGTCTGGTCTGAGTCTATGTCTTGCCAGGAACGGGGCTGGCGCTATTGAGATATTATTCTAGGTCCCATTACATACATACACGCGAAATCGTTTTCATCTAGATGACTTTTGGTAGATGGTGTAGTAGGTAGTCTCATCTTTGACGGTAGGAGAGTGAGTGAGAGTGAGGGTGTCGTTTGTGGGTTATTTTGGGAGGGACGTAGGCTTAATCCCAAGAGATCCTGTTATTCTCGTTAGCAAAGCCAAACCGCATATAATAGTGTTGACGAGAGAGACATACGCAAGCATAATCCCCGCCCCAAGCGCGACAGCCAAAAACTGCACAATGGTCTTCTTAATCTCGAGCTTCTTATCCTTGCCCGTCTCCAACAGCTCAGGGATAACAGACACAGTTCCCACATACAGGAACGTCCCCGCCGTAAATGGCAAAAGCATATCTCCCCACTGCAAACTCGTGCCCCAAAGACCACTCACCACTCCCTCAGCAGCATCAGCAGCGGCGCCATGACTTCCGCCGAGCTCCTGCACCGCGATACCGATAAAGGTACCCAGGAAGGCACCAATGGCGGTAACGAACTGCGCGCCCATGGCCTTCTTCTTCGAGAAACCAGACTGCACGAGGAGAGCGAAGTCACCAACCTCGTGGGGAATTTCATGGAAGAAGACGGCGACGGTGGTCGTTGCGCCGATGGTGGGGGAGGCGTAGAAGGAGGAGGACATGGCCAGGCCGTCGGTGATGTTGTGGGTAAAGTCGGCGATCAGGTTGAGGTAGCCGCCCAGTTTGACGCTGGGGTTGATTTCCTTTCCGGGCTCGGCGTTTGCGACGGCTTGCTCCTTGGTGGACTTGCGCTGTTTGAGGTCACCGGAGGATTTGCTGTCGGTTGAGGTGCCAGTTGTTACTGCTGTGGCGGGTTCGTGGGAGTGACTGTGGCCGTGGGAATGGTCGTGGCCTTCGCCGCCAGTTGCGATGCGGAGGGTCTTGTCCATTGCGACGAAGGTGAAGAAGCCGACCATGATGCCGAGTCCGAGGAGGAGGTTCCTGTTCGGCTCGACCATGACGAAGCGGACGTGCTCGGGGCTGTCTTCGCCGAGGAAGATCTCAGGTAGAAGGTGGAATAGTGTGTCGCCCATCAGCCCGCCCACAGCGAAAGCTACCATCACGGACAAGGATGAGGGGTCGATGTTCGGGGGGCATAGTGCTAGCAGGAAGTCTGATACTGGTCAATTGCTGTATCACGTCGCGGGGTAAAATATAGACACGTACTGGGGGGTCCGGAGATATACGCAGTGGCCAGAATTGCATTCACAGCTGGACTACCAGGGAAAAGGACGGCGAAGATCTTCGAGGTCAAGCTGGCGGTTTGGGGGCTGGTGGCACGCTTGTGCTCGTTGAGAGATTCCACGAGAGGGCAGTTCTATGTATTTATTAGTATATTGTAGGACATCTCAGTATATGACCGCAATTGAGGCGTAGATATCGGTATAGACTCTTCAGGGGTAAAGAGACAGCTTCATATTTACCTGCAATTCATCCTCTATCTGGCTTACAGACAGCTCTCCAATGGGAATGACATCTTTAGCAACCGCCAGGACACTGAAAAGGACCAGTCCAGCAGCCAGCGCAAAGGCAAGCCGACGCGGCGGAGAGAAAAGCCGAGCCATTGCTGCGAGAATGATTCTGTACGCTCAGGAGAGCAGTGACACCCGGATCGGAAGTAAGTGAGTGACAGGTCGCATGGGCCCGATCGTCGGACCCTTAAAACTGATGGACTGATTTCTTCTTATCGGGAATCCCACGACAAACACGCCAAGACTAGCAAATGCAAACACCCACCAGCCTTTTCGGAGAAATCGATAAGATTATTTTTCAGATTTCTTCAGCGCATCTCCCTTTTCGACATCGAATCCGTTAATACTCATAATCACACAACATGGGAAACCCAAGACAGAAGAGAAAGCTTAAGTCTTCCCTGCCGAAGCAGAAGCCCAAGAGGACTGGTATCCTCAAGAACGGCAACAAGAAAATTAATGTGCTGGGAAATGCGATCATCGCCGAGAATTGGTAAATTTCAAAGTACCGCAAGTGACATGCGCAATGCTAATGTAGGTACCTCTAGGGACCGGAGCCTGACTCTTACACAAAACTACCGTCGTCTTGGTCTCACCCATCGTCTGAATGCCCCCACCGGTGGTTCTGAAAAGCGTGTGACGAAAACTGGCGTCGAGACCGTCCCGGAGGACTCTCTTCACATCAAGAGCAGCGCCCATGCCGCCACGAAGAAAATTACGCTGGGAGAAATTAAGGTCGAGCGCGATCCCGAGACCGGAAAGATTATCCGCGTTATTCAACCCGATGAGCACGAAATGATTGAAGTCGCTGGACGTAAGGTCCGCAAGTCGAACCCGCTTAATGACCCGTTGAACGATTCGACCGACGACGAGATGGAGGATGCTGAGTCGCAGAAGAAGAGCTCCGCAAGTGCGATTGTTCAACAGCTCGAACGCCAAGCAGACAAGGAGAGCAGTCGCGTCAAGGCGAAGAAACCCCGACACATGAGCGAGAGAGAAGTAGAGTGGATTACAAGGTTGATTGACCGCCACGGAGACAACATCTCAGCCATGGTCCGTGACCGGAAATTGAACCCGATGCAGCAGACCGAGGGTGATATAAAACGGAGGATTCGCAAATTTAAGGAGAGCCAGCAGTGAAGAAATCCGGTTGTTGCATTGTGTCGCGGCGAGTTTGGCGTTAGACGGTTGATTTTGGATAAAAGTATGTTTATGCTGGGTTATATTCGACCATATTGAGGTGGTCTACTGGCTATCCTGGTGGTCTCAAGTCGTGTCATACCATAGAATCGTCATTTATGTGCTGTCTGGCATCGATATCCAATGATAATCTGAACATATGCGTTTGATGAATTTCAATATACAGTGCAATATGCAGAACACTAAAGCCGCTTCTACTCTGATGCTGAACCGGATCTAAGCTAGACGAAGGGGGTCAAATGGAGGCCAATATTTCCACAAGATAGCGTATACATGCCCTATATACACACCAGGAGCATACACTGTACACCACCTAACCAAAAACACAACACACAACAAAACGCATATCACAACAAACCAACACCTTTCCCTGCTATTATACCACCTCATATCCCACCCTTAACCCTCCATCCTAACATCCTCACAACAACATACTCTTAACCAACTACAAAATGACCACTATACTCCTCCTCATCTACCTCTTCACAATAACCACCTTTCTCCACCCAGGATGGGCCCAGACCAACCAGTACGCCCCCTCCTCCCACTATCACCTTCAAAGAAACCCCCCAAATCACATCTTAACAGCATACACCAGGCGAACACCTAATAACCTCTGTTCAACCCCCGGCACCCACTACTGCACGCACAGCTCCCTCCACAGCCCAGAAATACTCTCCTGCGTGACACGCACCCGAGCCGAGCTCCGCTCTTGCAATGTCGAGTACGTCCCTTCACAGTCTACACCAAGGCGACTTACAAATAGGATGTTACTGAATAACTACACAGATTGGCGCGTATCATACCCAAGGGATACGAGGAGTGGGCTTTATGTACCTCTTCCACCTTTTTCACTCGAATTATTGGGTACTATATAATGCTAATGGGGGACTAGGCTATGAATCCTCGCCCGCGGCTGGGGATGCTGTTTGTGCGTTTAATGGGACGGGATATACGCGGAAAGGAGCTACTGTTGCGGTTCCGGAGACGGGGATCTGTGAAGATGAGATTGATTTTGTTTCTTTGGGGGAGGAGGTGAGCTCGAGGCTGAGTTATGGATTAGGGTCTGGATCAAGTCCTACGATTGTGTCATCTTTGGATGCAGGTTGGAGCTCTTTCCGGCCGGTTACTACGCCTGGGATTGGTGAGGTGGGGGAGTCGGTGCAGAGAAACAGGAAACAAAGGCTTTGTTTTGAGCGTGGGAGGCCGAGGGCTGTGGATCCTGGGGATTGGAATAGGGTTGTTACGCTGCTTGGTTCGGGGTCCGGTTGGAGGTCCTTGGGTGATGGGGTCGGCGGGTCTCAGGAGACGACTAGAGTCGGTGGAGGGTGGCTACGTCTGGGTTGGGGTTGGATTCTACTAGTGCTCTTGCGAGTGCGTATGTCTCGGTTTCGACTGGGAGCTTACCGCTTTGGAATGGTACCTCGGCGATTGGGCTTCCTGTTGTGACTGGATCTGTCGGTGGGGTTGGGGCTTTGGGGCTGAAAAGGGTCTGGTATGTGTATGTTGTCTTTGTGCTCTGGGCTTTGGGATGGGCTTGGTAGATGATCCTACATGGTGTCTCGTTCAGCGGGTTGGGGATTGTTTGGAGAGGTGGAAGTGGAATATTGGGTACTCTGTGAGGTACAGTTCTGCGGGATAAAGTAAATGGGCTCTATTCATTTAGTCCATAGTCTTGTGTCTAGTAACATGTTCACATATCCCTTACGTATCCTTGTTGGGATACTCGTCCCTGGTCCAGCACAACATAGTAATCCGCGTCCTTGATGGCTTCCAATCTGTGCGCAATAGTGATGACAGTCGACTCTTTCATTTCCTCTCTAAGGACTTGCTGGATCTCCAGCGAGCTCTCGTGGTCGATGGACGCTGTTGCCTCGTCGAGTATGACAATGGAGCTCCGACGCAAGACTGCCCGCGACAGGCCGATTAGTTGTCGTTCGCCCTGGCTAAGGTTTCGACCGCCGGCTTCAACATGTGTCTCTAAGTTCCAGCCGTGTCTGCTGCAGATGCGTTTGAGGACGTCGGCACACTCCACATCTGTGTACTCGCCAGTTGGATCGAGGTTGCGACGGATGCTTCCCGGGAAAAGAACAGGGTCTTGCGCAACAAATGTTACCCGGGTCCGGAGTGCTTGGGTGCTCACCTGCGCAATATCATGGTCGTCAATTAGGATGCGGCCGCCATCTGGGCGAATCACATTAAGCAGTGACACTGCGAGGGTAGACTTCCCGCTTCCTGTTCTGCCGATGACGGCTGTCGTGGACCCGCCGGGAATGCGGAGGGAGATATTGTTCAGTGATGGATCTAGATGGGGAGCATATCGTATGGTAACATCCTCGAAGACAATATCGGAGCCGAATTTCGGCCAAGATGCCGGTGGCTCAATGGTCCCTGGAGATTCTTGCTCGATGTGTAGAAGCTCGTCTACTCTCTCAACCGAGACGAAATCCATCTGCAGCTGGCCATACTGCTTGCACAATGCGTGCGTAGAGTCCACAAAGTTATTCGCTGCTATCAAAACGAACGCCGCCAGGCCAGGAGTGACATTCGTGTATAATGCAATGGCAGTCAGGCAGAACGTTGAAAGCGCAGATAAGCTTTCGAAACGATACATCAGCCAGCTCTGGAGCGACCAGTAGAAGTGGTCCATGCCCTGAAACTTATCCACAACTGCGATGACTCTATCTTGGAAGCGCGATTCCGCATGGAACGCACGGACAGTAGTTAGACCGTGCAACAGTTCTCCAAAGTTAGAGATTAGTGGACTCAGAGACACCATCTCCAGCCGTCGCAAGCTTTGTGACGTTGGGAGGAACCGCAGGAAAGTAAAGATAAAGGCGGCAGTCAGGACAAATGAAAAGGCAAGAAACGTCGGTGTAACTGAGGCAATGACCAGAAGTGAAGAAACCCACACAATGGCCTGGAAGAATATTCGCTGGAATTGTTCACTGATATTGCCGTCAACCACACCGATGTCGGATGTCAACCGGTTCATCAAACGCCCAATAGGAGTGACATCAAAGAAACGGAATGTGGCATGGCTGACACGCAGCATGACCTGCTGGAACATTGTTTTCCCCGCACAGTAAACTATGACAATCATCATGAGCTGCGAGACTAGAATTGTTAGTGATTGGAAAACTGTGATGGCAAAGAATGCCACAAGCCATGGTCGGACATCTTCAACTGGTGCCGGAAATTTGTCAAATGGGTTCCCTGACTTCCAGTTGAGCGCCTGCGGGAGGACTAGTGGTTCTCCCAGTCCTCCTATGGAAGCCTTCTTGTAAGATGGTGAGAAGCCAAATGATACAACCGGTTGGCCGTGATTGTAAGCCTCGCCCCATTCCTTGAGGAACCAGGATTGACCAACAGCGGCGAGACGATACATGGTTATGAAGACCGCAAGGACCAGCCACCACTTGTACTTTCCAGCTCTTATATAGTTCCAGTAGACCTTGGCCTTCACTCCCCATTCGGCCCGGTGTTCCTCTTCAATAAACTTGTCTGGCACTGCAGCCTTATCATCCAGGTCTGCTGTTTCACCTGGAGTCTCATCATCCGTAGATTGGGACGAAGAGGATTCTTCTGTATCATCGATACTAAGGGTTGAGGAAATGGATTGCCTATCCTCTATGGTAGCTCTGCCATCATGAAGGTGAACAATTTGGTCTGCGATATGACGTACCAAAGTGGTGCGGTGAGTAACAAGGACAACTGTGCGATCTTGCATCAACGGGCCAGAGAAGCATCTGCGAACTATGGTTTCTGCCGTGTTATGATCCAGGGCGGATAAAGGGTCGTCAAGATATAATATTGTCGCAGAACTGTAAACTGCCCGTGCAAGAGCCACACGTGCTTTCTGCCCACCCGAGAGGCCAATACCATTCTCACCCACAAATGAAAGGTCGCCATGCTTGAAATTGGCTAGATCTGGAAGTAATGCGCAGGCCTCGAGAACTTGTTTGTAGCGACGTTCATCATACGCGGAGGAGAACAGAATATTGTCACGGATACTCATGCTCTGCAACCATGGAGTTTGAGAGCAATATCCGACCATCTCACTGGGGGTCTCGGAAACACCACTCAGTCTATCAAGTTCACCGAGTAAGGCTTGAAGCAGTGCTGATTTCCCAGCCCCTACTTTACCACAGATGACTGTCAACCCCCGTGAAACCTTCAAGTTGATATCAGAGAGCACAGGTGATGTTCTACCAGGCCATGCAAAGTAACAAGAATCCAACACGAGTGGGGCTTCAGCGTTCGTTCCTATTGCTGCCTGTTTCTGCTTGTCAGGTTCAGCCATAAAGTCCTCTATACGTTCCATGGCGATAGAGGCATTGATAAGCACTGTTATTAGACCGGGGATTTCTCTTAGTCGAAGCTCCAGCATCGTGAAGAGCTGCAATGCTGGAAATATAATGTCAATACGTAGGGGGTTCCCAGCCAGCAATGTATAAGCATACAAGGCCACGACCGGGAAAAGGCCGCTGGCGAAGGTGTTGACAAAGCGGATTAAAACATTGAAAAGACTAGTCACGATGCGAAGGTTCAATTCAGATTGCCTGGCATCCATAACCTGACTGAGCCAATGGTTTTGCCAGCCATACCAGCGAAGATGGCGAAGGGCCTCCACGAACTGAGACGATATCTGGAGTCTAGTATCTGTTGCTAATCTGCGCACTCTTTCCCATCGAAGGAGAATACGTGTTATGAAAGCGTTTAAGATCTGAGCTATCAGGATAGCGGAGATCCCGAGAAAGCAGGAGGGCCCAAGCAATTTCCAGACGAGGACTGTGGCAATGACAAGACCGAGGGGTTTGTCGACCAAAGTGTCGACTTCCCAGAACCGTTGGGCAACCTCGTAGACATCTCCACGTAACAAATTGAATATCTTTCCCATGGAAGCCGCGGTCTTCCCTTTTTCTTTACTAGTGGCCCGTCGCAGCGGAAATAGTCCGCAGAGCTTCCTCTGTTTAGTATTGGGCGCCACTTCACCGTTACTGTCCTCACTTTGCTGGCACTCGTTTTCGCTCCCTCTTTCTGTAATTTGCTGATCGAAGATATTCTTCCTCGATAATGCCTTCTCATATACCATCATGATCATTTCACCTCTGCTCCGTTCGTAACAGCGTCTACCGTACCAAAGGTTCAATACCTGAGACTGTGCTGCAACCAAACGAAGCACTACTGACAGCAACGCGTATGTCAAGGCAACACGTTTTGGTGCGTTAGGGTCGCTCATTGCCTTGAGGAGCTGTTGCAGAAGCACGGGAGTTGAAAAGTCTGTAAGGCTGATTAACACCAGCCAAGATCACGGAGGAATGAGACACGAACCACAAAGCATCTGCACCGTAGAGATTCCGGTAATGATCAGGACATCGATGCCATTTGCTTGAAGGAGCCTAGATATGACAGATCCACGGAGCTGGCGGAACCGTTCATGCAGTCTACGATGCTGAAACTCGAAACCTAAGAACCAAACATCATCCTCATTTAACTGTCTGTTCTTGCCGGCTGCCATCAGCGGGGCCATCCAAGACACAGTAAGAAATTGCCAAAGTCGTAAGTTGTCCTCGGGGCTGCGAAATTTGCTCGATGGCGGTTGGCCCACGACGCCAATATCAACGCGGGGAAGTGAGGGTCCGCGAAATGGCATACAGAGGATAGTTGCGCAGGCAGCAGCGTCAGCACTAGCGGCAATGTAATGAGTATAAACCCTCGACACTGCATAAGCGTCACGATTTAGTATGAATGCCGTTTCCACGGCCAGCTCTGCAGCAAAGAAAGACAGCATCGATACTGGACAGGACCTTGGGCGTTCTATGGCGATCAAAACAATTGCAACTGCCTAGATCGTCGCTTCCACTTAGTGTACGTTACGCGAAACCATAGCCGTGACTTACCCAAGGTACTAGGAGAATAATATTGGTCGGCGTGGGCGCGTATGGCACAATTTTCGTGACCTCAGCTGCGAATCCAACTGTTGAGAACGCAAGAAGGGCAATCACCCATCCCGTTCTTTGTCTTGGCCTCTCTGATGGCAGCTCAGGACATGGCGGCTGTTCAGCAACGAAAGGCCGCATCCATTTTGGACAGCGAACCAAGGAAGAACGATTGAGCGCATGGCTCAATCCAATGACCAAGACTATGATGCCCGGAATGAGAGAGACATATCGCATGGCACATGCTGACAACCGGGCATTGGCCGAGTCCTGCGAGCGAGTTAGCAAAGGCGAACATTGCACCATCGATGCAAAATACGCACCCAAACGGAATGGCAAGAATAAAGAGCATCATTTTCTTTATTCAGAAGCATCTGGATGGCTTTAGTTGATCCTTCAGATTGTCGTCCATCCGAGATATGAATTGAGTTCCAACCACTGAACGACAAGCTTCCCCCGCCTTCGGACGGATGCGGTAAGTAAGTGCCTGGGCGCGGACCGGGGTATTTCCGTATGCCTGAGGCTATACTAGTCCCCTCACCGCCTAGAGCATTTAGTAGAGAATGTCTTTATTGTGTTCGAGTCTAACCACGTATATGATTGAAGTAGTAGGTACAGTGCTGGTTGAACTGACGCATGCTGTTACAAGGTGTCCGTGAGCTAGAGCCAACACTTGTGCTACTTACATCATGATGTCACTAACTATATACAGCATTCTTCCTCACATTATATATTGTCTGGTACTTGATGCTTCTAACCCATTCGGTTAATCGTACGAGGCAAAAATGTGGGAATTGAACGAGGCGTGAGAGTTATGACAAACCACATATGAATCCTCTCCTATTTTCTCACACCATCCCGGGAAGCAACAAGCTCTTCACGCAGTCGAGACAAGGCCTCCAGCACAGTTGCTTCGCGGATACGCTCACGAGTTCCAGGGAAGTTGAAGGGACCCCAAGCTTGGGTACCAGTAGGTGAGGCAATGCCGATGTATACCGTGCCAACAGGCTTTCCATCCTGAGACGCGGGACCAGCAACTCCCGTTGTCCCAATTCCCCATGCTGTTGGGGTGTTGTCACAAGTTGTGATTTTGCGAGCGCCTTCGGCCATCTGGGTTGCGACATTGGGGTCAATTACACCCATAGTAGCGATCAGGTCTGATTCCACGCCTAGGAGCTGCTGCTTGAGAGGTGTTGCGTAGGACACAACCCCGCCCCGGAATACTGCGCTTGAGCCTGGCACAGAGGTGAGTGCGGCCATCACACCACCTGCAGTCAGGGATTCTGCGACTCCAAGTGTCTGGTCAGCCTGGCCAAGCATCTGGACAACATCGGTAGCTATATCAAGGAGCGTTTCGGTGCTTCGCTGTGTGTAGACTGGAATGGAAGCCATCGTGGGCTATATGGTAAACGAATTGGGATAATGATTTAGATGCTGGGATATGTATGAAGGTAGTATTGCTATGGAGGGGGGCTATTTCTTAATATACTGCGACAAGAACTTGGGACACTTAACAGATACTAGATCGATAGGTAGATACAACATTCTAGAGCCGCTTTGAACACGTAGGTAGATAATAAAGTATAGAAAGACACAGTCTCCTATTCGTACATATCCGAAGGCTGCACCCATTGCTGTACAGAATAAGAGCCTCAACCAGCCAAGGCTTACTCTCATTGCAGCCAGCGTAACAAGCTTTTTAATAGTTAAACATGAAGTTTAGTACTTTGACAGGCCAATACAAGGCAGCCATATTGCCTCGGTGGCCGAAGGATTGCGGGATTACGAGGCAGTGCTACCTAAAACCTTACTGTTGCGACAACCGGCATTGATCCCCAAGGGCACCAAAGCAAACAGATATGTTTTGTTTCTCTCAATTTTATTTCTTCTATTTTTCTTCATATAGCAGCAGCAATCGTAAGTAAGCTACCCCGTAGTGCACAGTCATAGCAAAGCAGAAGTCTGATCCAGAAACTGCTGACACCTCATCGTGCGTTTAGAGTACTTGTCAAGTTCAGTCCCTGCGCAAACTATGGATTAAGCTTTAACTACAAAAGCCCCACAAGGATCTATTCTGGATCCTAGTGGCCAAAGAGGTGCATGGACTCACCTGGCTTTGGTACTGTAAATCCTGCCTAGAGCAGGCTGAATATTACAGACTGAGTCAAGAATTAGTCACATCACATAATTGCATTAGCGTTGGAGTACATAGACTAAAAGAGAATTCATATGGTTACAATTCTGTGCCTAGGGATTATTCGTCCGTGAGCCTGTCCTTTTCTTCTCGTGTCAATAATCATGACCCACTTCATGAAATCAGGATTCAGAAGAGAGCCCCAGGAAGCTAGCATGGTTCTCGACCATAGTTGCTCTGATCGCATCCACCTACTGCCATGTCCGTGCGGCTAGAACTCTGATGCTGATCGCTGTGGGAAGGAAGATAACACGGTGTCCAACCTCGATGGCAAACTTTTGATAGGACCCTAAATTTGCCCCAAAGATAGAGGTATCAAAATACTTAACCGCTCTCCCGATCTCACAGCCTAAACTCAATAAAAAACGTGATATCAATAGGAAGGAATACGAGTCCCAGGTCGATAGCCATACACTGTCCGTTGTTGTGCTGGGGATGCGATCTGATCTGTGACCCGGTGCCATGGAGTAGAATATGTTGGGAGAAGTTCCATGGCTGAATGACATTTTGCCTCCGCAAATTGCTGTCAAAACACAGAAATTAAATCTATGACTCATAAGCTACGCCGAATCTGACGTAAATACAGATCCCAAAAGACTAAAATTTTAGAAAAGAAAAGATGATGCCCAAGAACTTTCGAAATTATATGGGAAGCCAGCAACGCAAGATCAGTGTAGGGGTGTATCGTTCCTGATATTCTGTTGATGGGGAGGAATCCTGTATCACCGGTAGCCATTTTAAGAGAAATAGACTAGAGCTGTGGAAGTTGTGAGATGGGCTTGAGACACGAAGAGTATACCAGCAACGAATTCGAACTGACCTTTCGGTTATTATTAACAAGAAGTCGCGACAAGGTCTAGCGGCAAGATCAGCAATGAGAAGAAGCTGCGACTGAGTCGGGGAATGATGTATTATTGGGATTCTGGTGACGTTGCGTGATTCAGTTGTTGATTGGTGTAGTAGTGATAGTAGTGTGACGGCAGGTACTGTGATGATCGAATCGGATCGATACAAAATCTCCAATGGACAACTACCTACCGGAAAATGGTTGAGGTGGTGTGGAATTGGTAGGTTGATGATATTAACTAAGTTATTCGAATTCAATAGTAGTACTTTTCCCCCTCCCCCTTCATTCCTTCCTTTTCCTGACAGTACCAACCCTTATCATGTGTGGTGTTTGTCATGCCCCAGGCAACAGGATACAATCTGCCCTTGCCTTCTCATTTAAATAAGTAGTTGCTACTGTGGTTTAAGCTATCTGCGTCGTATTATTCTTCATGCGGACATACTCCTAGGGAGTGCATGATCCCATCCACCTGACATCCCAGTGCGGAGTCGTATCATAGCAGTTTGCGGGATCAGTGACGGTCAAAACTATGCGAACCCTAAAGGAAGGTAAGCCGCTGTCCAACCTCGACGGCGAACTTTTGGCGGAAGCCAAAGTTCTCCCCAGGTATATAGAATAGGGCACTCGACTCGTACGGCAAAATTGAATATGTTGGGCATGACGATGGCAGTGCAGAACTCCTTCCTCAGACTGAGCTTATTGGGTGGTTGGAACCCAATCTTAATGACCGCCGCATCCCGAGGAACGAACTGCCCCAAGCTCCATACGCAGAGGGCGGCAACTTGAATTTCACCAGTGCCATTACAATGGAGCCTGTTACCTTGATCAAGGCAACATGCTGAGGGTTGGCAGACACTGAGTGCGCGATTTCCAGCTCCCTCTGGTACTCCAGGAAAGAGGCATATGTGAAGATAATCCTAGCCTTGTCGGGTTTTCCGAACGATATTTGGGCGTGATGGTCCATAATGCCATTACCTTCGCGCTTGGCATTCTGCCTTGCCAGAAACATTCCCCATTGAGCCAGTGCCTTCCCCTGTTGATTTCGGTACGGGCATAGGTTTCAGCTGGTACCATTAGCAAAATCAAGCACCTGGTGTCGAAGCCTCCCCACTTCTTCGCGTTTGCGCCTGTTTCCGCGTCTTCCGAAGTGTAGTCTATCCATCTTGCATTCAATCGTAAGGCGGCATAATCCTGACACCTCCGACCCACTTGGAAATTCAGGGCAAGGCTGCGAGCCAAGAGCAGGAGCTTCTTGTCTTCGTTGTTCAAAAATGGGGCGTCATAGGCGAGACCAGTTCCAATGCTCCCGTTTGTCACAAAATGTATGATGGCGTAACTGCCTTGCATGTCGTGTCTCGATTGACCCCCTACCCCAACCGTTCTTTAATGGGCATATCAACAAGCTCATACCCAGTGACGTGGGTGAGGACGTGGAATTCTAGAAATGCCCCATGAATAGCTTTGCGATCTAGAGTTGCTTTGAACTCAATTATAAGCTTTCGAAAAATACTTCCGCTTCGAAACTTGAAATGCATAGTTAAACCGGTTTCTTTGGGTAACCGGCTCGCTGGAAAGAATTCATTCGAAAGGTTACCATCAGGGCCTGTAACCTTCACGTGGAATTGCCCATATTTCCACTGAGTGCCATTAGACTCCTTAACTTCATCAGGATCTCTGGCACAAATAGGAACTAGCTTTTGGGCATCTTCCTTTTCTTTCGTCTTCTTGTTGGATTGTGAAGGCAGCGGAACCTGACCATTATTAGTGTGTCTGTGCCTTTGATAAAAGAATGCCAACTCACATATGCCTGGTACAAGAACTGATCGAACAGCAAGTCCAGACGACGATGCTCCTCTGCGAACGGCACCTGGTTGAGCTCTAAAGGCTCATTGTGGATAACCTGATCAGCCCCCCGAGTGACTTCTCTGATATCGGTGGTCTGGCTATTTTCACCGTCGCCATGTTGGCCTTGCCCTCGGTCATGAAGGTCTGCACATTGGACTTGGCCAAGGTGGCCTCAAACGTGCGTACCGCGCGTAAGACCGGCTGACTCCATGGGACACGCAGGCCAGAGGGCCAATCATGCCACCAGCAAACTTCTCAAAGAGCACCTTGACGCAGCGGCTACAGGGAACCTAGTCACAGTCAGGGCTACCCAGGCGTACCGATAACTGAACAGGACTAACCGGGGGAGGAACCTGGGAGACGACGGTGAGACGGATAGAGGCTTATGGAGAGAGGATGAGGAGATGGATGCCTCGAATAGATAGGAGAGGCGACCAGTGTAAGTGACAAGCTTTACTTATTCACGCTGAAAAGATTTCACTTTATGG